TCACACGTGGAAGCTATCTGGAAGCTATTTGTCAAGTCCTGGAGAGACAGGCAAGGGCAAAACCCAGCTGTGCTAAGGATATGGCAAGCTCACCCTGGAGCCATTAACAGCCCAAAGCCTGGACCCCAGTGCACCAGGGTCACACACTGGGGCCTTGGTCATGTGTGGTGAGTGCTGTTCTGCAGCCTCTGTGCAACCAGTATGGACACAAAGGAAGTTTTCAGGGCTGATCACCCCACCAATAGTTCAGTCCAACCAAAATTCCAGTACTGAAACATACAGCAGAAGGAAGATAGTCTTGATATCACACAGCTAAGCCCAAATTAGGATTCTCATCAGGCATTTTATCCAGGCCATTCCAGTGCCAAGTCAAGACGAAGAGCCACTCATATGTCTTGCACTGAAACTAGTCACCCACCAAAGGGGGTGCAGAGCCTGCAATGAACAATTCAAATGTTAGCCTAAGATACATTTTTCTCTTCTCAGATAGCCTTTTTCATCCTAGCATTTCATTGCATTTCAAAGAATGCATTAAGCCTCCAAAAGAAAATGGTATTGATGCTCCATAGAGGAAGCCAAATAAAGAGCAGCTGAGATCACTTGGCTTGTTCAGCCTGAAGAAGAGGAGACTGAAAGGATGCCTCATTGCAGTCTACAACTTCCTCATGAGGGGAACCAGAGAGGCAGGCACGGCTCTCCTCTTTGTGGTGATAGTGACAGGACCCAAGGAAATGGCCTGAAGCTGTGTCTGGAGAGGCTTGGGTTGGGTATAAGAAAAGGTTCTTCACCCAGAGGGTAGCTGGGCACTGTAAGAGGCTCCCCAGGTTAGTGCCATGGCACCAACCCTGCCAAGATTCAAAAAGCAATTGGACAACACTCTCAGGCATATGGTGTGATTCTTGGTGCTGTGCAGGACCAGGATTTGAAGTTGAGGGTCTTTTCCAACTCAAGATACTCCATGAATTTCTGATTCTGTCTGTTCATACAAGCAGGCAAACCACAGCAGAAAGCTCTGAGCAAGACATGAAACCTACCTAATAATTTTGCAGCATACCTGGAATTACACCCATGTACCCAAACTCTTTGCCTTGTACTTCAAAATTATGCTTTTCATATCAGGCGCCTACCCACACAAAGAATTTGGACTGCTTGTTGTACCACCCCAAAGCTGCTGTCCCCCCAGGTGATCTCTCTCCCTGCAAATGCTACGCTCTGACTTCACAAGCTTCTTTAAGTAGATTTCAAAGGTGCTCCTGGCAGTCCCACTGAATAGCACAGGAGGATCCTTTACTTCCTCTCTGTTTACACAACATGCCAAGATCAATTAATCCCCTGGGAATGAGCTCAGCAGCTCCAAGAAGTCTTTGTGACACCCTAGACTTCCTTGTGCCTCAGGTGAACCTGGAGCCTTCAACTTTGAACCCAAGGATGTCCCTGCTCTCCCTGACCTTGTGCTCTCAGCATCGCCAAAAAAGCCAGATATGCTGAAGTGGCAGCAGCCATGCAGGGTGGCAGCAGGCTTCATTAAAGAGCAAGTGGTTGGCAGCAGGGCCAGCATGCAATGATGTGTCTGCCCAGGGACCATGATCAAGGGGTGCTGAGAGAGGGCATTCACTGCAGCAAAGTGAGTGTCTGCACAAGCCAGGGCATTTCTGCCCAATTAAGGAAAGAATAGAAGTCTTCTGAGCTCATTTGCTAAGCCTTTGGAGAAGTGAAGAAAAGCGTGCATTGAAATGTCCTCGCTCGGCATCAACAGGGAGACACTGGGTGGCCAGCTGACCAGCCAGGGTGGCAAATGCATCTGCCAACAGTCCAGACTCATGTCTGGGACACAGAAGGGCTGAATCACTGTACCCTGTGAATTCAGAAAGACATATCCTGGCATCTAACCAAAACAGGGCTTTTTAAACCTTCTCCTGGTACAGCCTTCCCTGCTGCAGGAGGCTGAACTGAAAGGCATGGATGATGGAGATTTCCATTTATTAACATGGTAAGAAAGAACAGCAATTCCCTAACTTCTTTAAAGCACTCTGATTGCCACCAACCCACCTGTCTCCCAAATTTGCTCCTCTTTTTTACCAAAAGGCACCAAATCACTGGAATACAGGGAGACATTTGGATATCACTTGCCATCAGCTCATGGGAGGAAGACATCCCAACACAGACCCACTCCACACCTCAACCCCCTGGACCAACATTCCATCACCATCCAACATAAACAGAATTTGATGCAAAGCACTTGGCATCTCTTCATCCACCCCTGAGTTACCCATACCACCTCACACCCCCAAAGTGTCTTCTTATCTCACAGCACATTTGCTTCAGGCACAAATTCATCTTGCCTGATACTCTGTCATCTGTCAGCTGCTCAGAGCAGCAGGGATGGGAAGTAAGGCTCAGGGATAAGAGTGAAAGCCACATCTGCTGCTCAAATAAAAAAAGTCTAGCTGATAAACTTTTCAGCTGTGTTCTCATGGGCAAGCATATGATAGCAAGGATAAGAATCACAAAGCAAGAAAAGCATGATGTTTAGAGCCCAGATGATGCCTTAGAGTAGCCTGTTTAATATTAACATTCCTCATATGCATCATTTACCTGACTAAGAAACACAGGATGCCACACACTGCCCAGGCAGTTAATAAGAGCCATTTTTGTCAGAAAATGGAAACAGACAAAAAACAAACACCCTGGTCCCATTTCATAAGTGGGAAATGGGGGGCCTGAATTTTCATAGGAGAAATAAGTACAGGTAGCAAGCAAAGACTCATCATAAAGCTTCAAGATGTTACTGGCTGAAAGTTAACCAATTAGAGCTATAAAAATAATACAAATGACCAAATAAAATATTCAGGCTGCGTATCACTGTGCATGTGTGTGTCATGTCATGTTGTGCCCTCAGTGCACTTTCTGTCAAATTAAATCCACCAGCTGACTATCCTTTCTTTATAACATGGATCCCACAACCATGGAATGTTAATGACATCCACAGTAAAAATGTTATTTAAAAAACACACTGCCACTTCCACTCCAGGTTTCAACTTCTTTTGCAAAAATCTTTGCCACAATTAATCTAGAAGTGTAGAGAGCAAATGGACAAGGAAGCCAATTATTCTCACAAGGTTTTCCCAAAAAAACCAACAGTTTGGAAAGCTCGTTTAAATTAGCCCCTAACCTTTATCAATACACTCCTGAAGACAGTGCTGAAAGATGCTTAAAGGAGAGCAGGCTATGCCTGGCATCTAAATCAGAGCCATCACCTGGGCCAAAAGAAACATTTTCTCATTTACTTATGTGCACTCTGAAAAACTAGAAGGCTGGGCACAGGCTTAGCAGCTTTCTTCTTCTCTCGTAAGGATGTGAGACTAATTAAAGTCTGTCAGTATCAGTAGAAGATTTGGGTGATGTGAAATGCAAGACTGGGCCTTTTGAATGTTCTGTGAGCAGAAACTTGGCTAGAAGGTTGAAAAGGGGGTGAGGAAAACTGTACTGAAAGCACAAGTCTCTGCATTATGTATTCATGGGAGGTATGCTGCCAGCAGGACTGAGAAAAACCAACAATGTAATAGGGAAATAGAAATCTCACTTTTAGGGTTCTTAGAAAATAAATGCACAGTCCTTTCTTTTAGTGGGTCCATCTTATAAGCTTTAAGGAATCGTTGCAAGCAAGGTTAAAACTAGTACGTCCAACAAACCAGAGGCAGTGAAATTCCTTCCTAATGAGAGGAAATTCAGAACTGAAAATAATTGTTTTTAACTTACTGCAATGTACCAGGGCCAGCAGATGTCTGCAGATATCCTTTTAAGCTGACACTACACCAGTGCAAATAGAAAAATAATGAAGAGACATGAAATACTAACTCTACAGCAAGGCCTTTTGAAAGAGAGGCGCCAGATGGGAACTGCACAGGGCAGCCTGCCCCATTTCCCAGGCTCTGCAGAGACAAGGCAAACTTCTAGCATTTCCACACCTCAGTCCAAGGCCAAACTAAAGTCCTGCAAAATCAAGAGTAACTGCATCTACAGCAAAATGTAAGCAGTTTGTGAAATGTTAAGAAGGCAAAAAGCTCTCTTTTACATGGCTATAAAACTCCTAGGAGGCATAAAGAGATCTAGGCCCAAGGAGTTCAACAAGTGTGGAAATTTCTATCATCATCAAGTTGACAACCCCTTTCAGCAAAGGCTCTTTTTATAAATGCTAAGCAATTAATTTATTTTGGAGTAAGTGACATAGGTCAGATCATGGAAGCAGTGGTAACTCGATGAAAGCAAATGCCAGCGATTTTGTTCCTGTGCCATGCAGTGAACTGGACAGTACAAGTGCTGCCTTCCTCCTCGGGTAGCAAGAGAACAGCCCAAGCGTGGCAGGAGCCACTCAAGCAGCAGTGCCTTTACCTCTCAGGAGGGCTATCTACACTTACCCCAATTTATCCTAGACAGACAGCAGAAGTACCCTGAAAGTGTGCCCCAAAGACACAACCACAAGAACCAACCCTATGAATTTACTGAACCTCACCTGTAGCCCCACATTTCTCTTCACAGAGAAAAGCAAGGCACAATTCTTCCCAAGAATGTGAAACCTAGAAATATTCTCAGAATATCAAAGAAAGAAAACACAATTCCTACCATTTGCTGTACCTGTGTTTGCACAAAAGTAGAATGCAATATGGAGATTGTTTACCTAAAACCATAGTGTTTTGTTCCCTTGGCCTATCAGGGCCAAGAGTGTGTGTATGTCACGACTGTCAAGCGACAGTCACAAGATTTGGTGCAGTGTGTGAAAAGTTGAGTGCTTAGCAGTTTTAGATGTATAAAATAGTATAATATAATATAATAAAGTAATTAATTAGCCTTCTGATATCCATAAAGTCCTTCTCATCATTCCTCCTTCATCAAGGCCCTCACAGCACCACTATACTTGCCTCAATAACCCATTTCTGTCTTTGCTTACCAGGCCTTTTTCTCAAGCAATGCTGCTTTCCTCCTGTGAAGCTCTGCCTTACCTGCTGCATTTTTTCCAGGTCAAGGCTGGGCCTGCTGACCTTATCCCCATATCCCTGTCGGTGTCTCTTACAAGGCATGACCTGCTCAAGGCCCGCCCCGACGCTGGTGAAGATCAGAGGTGCGGAGGCCGGGCTGCGCACCAGGGGCTGCAGTCTCTTGGGAGGGGAGGCACTGAACAGCACGGGGCTGGGGCTGGCCTGGAGGCCGTCGCCCCGCTCTGCCACGGGCCGGAAGGACATGGCGCACAAGTTCTTCACTTCCTCGTCGCTGGAGGAGGCGTTGTTGCCGTCGCCGCAGCAGGTGAGCCGGCTGACCTGCGACCACTTGCGCTTCTCTGCCGCAAACTCCCGGTTGATGCGCTCCAGCTCCTCCTCCGAGCTGTGCCGGTCAAGGCCGGCGTGGAAGAGGGCCCGAACCTTGCAGCATTGGCTCTCCTGGTTCTGGAGCTGGTTGGTGGCCAGAGGAGTCAGGGCACAATTCCGTCTTCTCTCTGGTGGGAGGAGATTGAGAAGTGGAAGAGCACATCTGGGTCCCACAGCCTATGTAAAACAGGCGTGTTTCCTCCTGACCTGCTGTTTTCATCTCCTCCCAAGTAAACTTCTGAGCTGTTTCCCCACCTTCTCTTCTCCAGATAAAACACCCCCCAGCTGAATGCTTCCCTTTGGAAGTTTAAAGACTTTTTTTCAGACCAGACTGCTAGATGTCATCCCCTTTCAAATCATCACCTGGAAGTCTAGTTCCAGAGAAAGAACACAGATCTGTCACCCACCTCACATCCTCAAGGTGAAGACACAAGCTTACAAATGTGTTGCTAGGCACTTGCGTCTAGCCAAAAATATTAATTTCTAGTGACCAGTTCTCAGGGCAGAAGAGCCAAGTTAGGCTATCCTAAGCGTCACATTTTTGACTCAAATAAATGAGATCTGGTTTCTGGAAATAAAAGTCCTCTATTACAAGACTTGTCACACAAGAGAGCCTGTCTTCAGTCACAAGCTAGGCATGCTTTATCTCTTCTGCTGAGCTCTTTTTATGCTAAGCATATGGAGCAGGGATCTGAATTCTAACAGGACATGTCCTGTGCGTCAGGAATTGAACTTCTGCTTCCTCTGCATAAGAATCTGCTTGAACCTGGCACCAGGGCATACACTAATGGCAAACTTAGCATAACTTAAGAGGTGCATTTACTACAGATTTCACCTGCAGCTCTAAGCTACTTCATATCAAGTCCAAAAACAATAGCAGAGCACCTATATCTTCTCTATCAAAGACTCTCACTAGATGCAAGAATATAGCTGCACAATACCAACAGTCTAGGAGGAAGGGAGAGAGATAATCAAATAATGAGTCCAGGGAAATGAATAAACTGAAGGTTAAAACTCAAAATAGCCAGGATGAGGAAACCCAGAACAAAGATGATCCAAGTGCAAAAGTATGGAACAGCAGATAAAAATTTTGTCCCAGCTCTGCTGCTGGCACAATTGTAGATCATCTCTGCCCCATGTCTCAGCACTGGGACTTTAACACATGGTTAACAATGTCTGTTTCTGGTGATAAAAATGCAACTGCAGCATCTGATAACACCAGCCTCTCCCTGTGAGGTCCCAAATGCTTCAAAGGTGACTGATTTAATGCATCTGTTTGTGGTACATTGGGGACTGGGAAGGAGGCACTTGCAAGAGCACGAATGAAAAGAAAAACTGACTTCAGCCGTAGTATCCCGGGATCCTTCTATCTTCATCCCTTTACCTCTGTCGATCTGAGCAAGTTCCTGGTTCTCTCCCTCGGAGTCATCGCTGTCCTCATCACTTGGGGGATAGGAGATCTAGGGGACAAGTAGAAAGAAAAGGCTTCATCATGAACACTGAATATTGCTGCCCAAGCCACTTCCCCCACCCTCCCCCTCTCATATCCTGGAGGGAGCCACCCTACCTAACCACACACACCCAGCCATGGCACCTTCCTGTGTGCACATCCTCATCTCCCAGCCCCAACCTCCCATCGTACCCTCTTACTTTCAGCAACACAGAACACACAAACTACTGCTGCTTCCACCACAAGAGCTGCACTGCCAGCTCTTTCCCAAGTACCATGAACATATCCTGCCTTTCACTTCCCAGACATGTAGCTTACAACCATCATGGCCTACCACATCCACATCACGTGGATAACCAAATCTCCAAAATTGCCACTGCCGAGATAGAGACACATCCTGTCAACAGCACTTGCAAGGCACCCACAAATGGAAGTGGCACATTAGCTTTGGCCATCCTGTGTATGTACCCACGCTTCCCCCTTGAAGTTCACACACAATCCACCACAGAACAGACACATCTTGCTTTTCTACAGGCCAACCCTGAGGTATTTAATAGAAATAAAAGAAACATGATTTCACAGAAACACAGACAATACTGTTAAGCTGTCCCCTCCAGGAGATAACTTACAATACTACTGAACACCTTTGAATGCTCTAAGATTAACAACAACTCACATGTTTTGTCAATATCAAGACTTTTCAGGAACACCTGCTCTGTGTCAGCCAATGGACTACAAGCCACTTACTCAAAACATGTCTAACACTGAACAAACCTGCTAGTTGCCTCTTGAGAGGACTGAGAGATCTGAAACCAAGCTTTTATAGGTCAGATAGATCACACTGTCTCTGCGTTTCCTACAGAGGAAATCCTACCTACCTTGCTACTAAAGTGACTTTTGTTCAGCTGCAAAGAGCCTACCTGGAAGTTATTAGATCAAACCATTGAGCTACACAGCTTAGTATGTGTCTCTGGCAGCAGCCACAACCAAATGAGTCAAAGGAAAATGCAATACTTAAAAGAAACCTTTATAAGAAACAGTTCTGGAATAACATGATCACGGCAAGATGAACTCTACTATTCCTTACACCTTTTTATTCAGAACAACAAACATGGCCATCATTCTTAGCTGCCTCAAAATACTTGCTCACAACAGAATCCAGCGGAAATACGTTTCCAAAGGTTACATGCTATGCTTCCATTTTACACCTTTGATGTGCTGTGCTTGACTTTTACAAAGAGGAGGCAAGCACAGAGCCACGACACTGATTTGGACCCATTTTACCTTCACCACCCTGGGGAGATGTCTTTATAGTGTTTCAGCCACCCAGAGACACCACAGAGCAGCTACACTTACCTACGTGAGAGAAACAATAATAGTTGACAAAATCTGATTGATCCTGAATTTGACAGCTATTAAATCAACACATCTGTTTTGTGACCATCCTCCAGGACTGTGTTTGCTGCATTTTGTTCCCCCCAAAAGCATGCAGACACCTTTTCCCCCCCTCCTTCTTTAAAGCTACCTTTTGCCACTCTATATTTACATTGCCCTTTGAGAAAACAAACTATCTTTTCCCTTCTTGTTAGTCTTTAAACTACATTCTCAACAGTCAAAAGATGAATCAGGCAAGTCAGATTTCAGATTTATACCCACTGCAGATATTCCTGAAGTAAACACAGGACGTTGTTTTTCCTTCTACAACTACAATTTTCTTGTAAGTGTTCACACACATGCATCATTTAATAAAGGCAGCTGGCACTGAGGAACACTGCCAAACACAGAGACTTCCAGTTGTCCCCAGAGCAGGTATAATACCTTGTTTGTACCATGGCAGTTCACAGAGGGGACAGCTGACACTGAGGTGCCATTGTGTGGCTGCTGTACAGACAGACAGAGGTCCTGTCTCCCTTAGAAAAGCTAAGGCTCCCATTCTAACTGGAGAGGTACTGACCTTAGGCTGTGGCTCATTCCCACATAAAAACCTTTCATTTGGACGTGGCAGGGTTTTCAGTGAGGTTTAGCAGCTCTGTGTGGGAAACCTAGCAGCTCCAGTTTCTGTACAATGTGAATGAATGTCAGTACATGGCATGGCACTGCTTCCAAAAAAAAGCCAATGACATCTAGCACATGCAGGTCAAACAGCCACTGCGCAATGTCACTGGCTTGAGATACTGAAGATAGGAGGTGAATTTGAGTCAATGACTGACATTTGAAGTCTCTGTCTACCAGTCTTGGACTTCCAAAATATTCACTCTTTCCTGTGCAAGTGAAATTTTGTCAGCCCTTCGCCTCATATAGGTAACTCTCCTGTACTGAGCCCTCCCCAGTCCCTGGGGGAACCAAAGACCAATTCCCTTGTGAGATGCCTTAAACACTTTGCTAGAGGCTTTCTTCAGAGCACATGAAAGAAAAATCTTTCAAACAAGAGACTCTAGCATTCATGTCCCCCAACAGAGAACCATCATTCATAGGAGGCTAACCATAAGTCTTGCAGAGCTGAAATTTTTTTACCTGAAACTCCTTGCCACGATACCTCACACAGACAAAGATTAATGGAAGATCAAAAAAAAAAAGGATTCTCTGTCAGTTTGGATAACAAGACTTTCCAAAAACGAAAGATCTATGAAATCAAAGACTAATGCTCTGACTAGCTGAAGATAAATACTCTCTCCCTTGACTCTTCCCAGGCTTTAACAGTACCCTGTCCTAAACATTCAAAAGCATTTCACTAAACATAGCAGTACTGTGTTCAGGCCTCCAGCCTCCCCTATATTAGCCACAGATTTACTTTCGTCCAAGGCAGTACAGTCCCACTTTCCTCAGAAATTCAGAATTGTGGCACTGTTGTAGCAGAAAATTGGAAAACTTCATGTCAAAAGTCCCACCAGATCATGGCTTCATTCAGAGCACATCAATTGCACAATGGATAGATTGAAAGACACCTCTTGGTATCACATAGTCCAAGCTCCTGCTCAAGCTGGAGCAACTAGAAAAGTTGCCAGGACTGTGCACAACACACTTTCTGCCTTGACATGCGTAATTGAAGAGAATAGAAAAAAAATCTTCAATTCACATAAATGTGTGAATGTTTACAAGCTATGGCACAAAAGAAGCCAAAAACCAAAGGACAGGAGGCCATTCACCCTTCAGTTTTTCTTCAGTAAATGCATCAGCAATCAGCCTCCTGTTGATGAGGATCACTCAGTGCTACACTTGGGACCTTCAGCTCTGGCACCTGGCAAGCCTTCAGTCAGGATAAGGACTCCTTCTGTTCCAGACAGAAACAAACTAACTTCCCCATCCATTTCATTTCCCATCCATCTCTAGTAAGGAAATATGGCTTGCTGTAAAATAACCAGATGGTATTTAAGGAAAACTTAAGAGTAAAGCTTACACTTTTGAGGGAATTTTAACATGAAAGACAAACTAGGAGATAAAAGAAAAAAACTAGAGACAGAAAAATGTGTATTTCTGATCACACTGCTGCTTGTCAACTGAGTAATAAACTGCAGTTCAAATTGCACAGGTCCTAACGGATGACATCACCCTCAAAGTCTAAAGCTCTGAAATACATCAGACAATTAAAAAGTCTCACTATGTTAAAGTGGAGTTCCTCTTGGTTTGGCTTCCAGAAGAGAAATTATCCTGCTATCATACAATCAAAAGCAATGATATTAAGAATCATCTGTGAGCTTACAAAGGATAAGAAATCTCACTTCTAAGGCAGACTAAAACTCTCCCACCAGGCTCTACTTAAAGGCTCCTAAAAACCTAAAACACCAACAGCATGGTTTGGTGCAGCAGAGGTATATTCATGAGGAAGAGATAATACAAAGATACAACTGACCACAGGCAACCCCTTGTTCCCAGCTTGAATGAAGAATGCCCACAGGCTGGAGGGCATCATTCCCTATCTCCCTCTGGGAGCAGGGGAGGGAGGGAAGGAGGGAGTTTACCTCCAGGGAGATGGTTTCCCTGGCAGAGGCCAACATTGCCTGTGCTGTACATACAAGGCTGTTTGTGACCCAGGCTTGCTCACTTCAGGCTGACCACTGCTGGGAATCTCTGCAACTAAGTGAAGTCCCTTCCAAGAGCCCTGGAAAGAGACTTCACTAAGTTGGTCTCACACCCTGGTTCCTGGCACACAACCAGAAAGCAATGGATGAGCTCAGCAATGACCACTGGTATCTCTGTGATGGGGAACTGATTTCCACTTCTTCAGACTTCACACTGGAGAAATGAAACCAGTAACCACCTCCCCCCTGCCACACTGCCTACAGAACAGCTGCTACAGACATGGGCAACCTACAGCACAGGCCTCTGCTGCTGGCTCTTCTCCATTTCCACTTGGATTTAGCAAAAACACTTCACCAAATTTCCCTTGTGATATTTTTCCAGGTCAACAACTGGTACAGTGCCATGGGACACTGCCTGATCTTGAATGAGGGAGGTGCCATCCTACCAATTATAAGAGACTTTGAATCAGAGAGTTGGAAAACAAGGTAGATGATGAGACACTGAAAGGCAGTTTTGAGCCATGGAACATTAGGAAGAAGGAAGGAATGAGTCAAACAGACCTTCAAATTAACGTGTAACTCCTTTCCCCAGATCTCCTTTGATTTTCAGAGATATTCAGTGATTATCGGGGAGAATTTATGCCAGTACATCAGGTTGGCTCTCTCCTCAAGAAAAGTTCAGTTCAATCTTCAAACATCCACACGTGAGATGTGACTGCCCAGGTTATACCTGGGGTCCCTCAACAGATAAACTCGCAGCAAGAACCATCCTGGTTTGGAACAGCTTTTCTAGAATATTTTTTCCATGTTACCATGCTCCTTGTTAATGTTCACAGTAGGTCTGCCTTCAAACTCTATTCACCATTTCCTTGCAAATGGCTATAGACAAACCTAGGGCTCACAACCCTTGAACATGGTCCTGACAGAGCAGCTGTTGGGTAAATGAAAGCTGGGATGGGCCAGTGGGACACGGCACTCCCTGAGGCCCTTG